TATATATATATATATATATATATATATTTATTTATATTAAAATGCCGTTTTGAAGACTATTGAACAGGCACATATAAAACAGAATTGCCATAATGCCACCAAGGCTTTTTCTTCTGCTTAACCAAGCATTATCAGTTGATTTATTTAATAAAACTGAGGACCAAGGAAGACTAGAGATGCAGATTCCAATAGAGTGCCCATGCTGTGATTATTGAAGTGGTAAGTAATTTGCTTTTAATGCTAGTGCGTACCACTTAGCACCATATTTAACTGAAGAAAGAAAATCACTCATTTTTCATCCCCTCGCTTAACTGACACTTAGTGTAATCTATCTATTGTCACTGAAGTTAATACAAGGAACATTTAATAGATTCCACTTTGAAATTTACAGCACACATTTAAATGTTTAACTCCTTCTTATTTATATTTGTATTCCTACGTGGAACCTAATTCCAAATGAATATTCTATCTAGGAAATAAGAACACAGTAGGTACTCACAAATATAATCTATTAAAAGGATTTGAAATTTTCAATTATAATCACATTTAGTATTGTGTGCTATCTTTTCTATGACAAAAATAGCAACATGAGTGGTGTGTCTATGAGTAACTAAAAATAATACTGGACATGAAGTTACTAATGAAATCATGGAAAACATATGCTTGAGTTTGTTAATACTGTTTTACTAATAGGTTCTTGAAAAATAATAATTATCATTTTAAATTACTCTCAATGTTCGAAATAAAAACCAGGTGACTGAATTCACAGGTATACAATACGGTCCTCTGGAAACCTGTGTTAGATTATGAAATAATATTTTGCACTGACTATAAATATGTGTACTTCTTCCTAATGGAACATTACACTGGCACCTGTCACAATGGAAGTCCATTCTTGCTGAGTATCTGCTTATAGATATTACTCTCATCTCTCTTTGTCCCTGGAATTATTATTTGCAGTTCATAAAGGGGCACAGAAAATGAGAGGAATCAATCATAAGAATAAAGACTTCCATTTTTTTTCTTTATTTTCCTTAAGAAACTGACCACACACACATACACCCCCAAAAATCAAAATTGGATAGGTTATTTCAGGGCTAATACAAATGTAGGATTTACTTGAGAATGTAGACAGTGCCAATATCTTATTTCTGTGTTGGACTGAGATATAGTATTGAGCCTATAAACATCAGAAAGGTCCTTTACAATGAGAGAGAACTTAGGAAAAAAAGTATCTATCCTTACTCACCCCATACCTATATAAATATATAATTTTATAAAAGCTTTAGATAAACTCAAATGTTAAACTTATTACCTAGTGCTTCATATTCAGCAAAATGAGCTCGATGAAGGAAAAAACAAACACAAAGCAAGAATGGTAACAAAACACTCCACAGATGTGTATTTTAAAATACTGAAAAACTCAGGGATTGCAATAATGCATGAAGACAACTTAGAAGAATAATAAGATGACATAGATTAGAAAACATAGTGCATTCCTAGGCATCCTTTGGAGACAGAAGATATTGGTCTTCCTAATTACACTCATCCTTCCATTGGGGCCACCAATTTCCTAAAGGAAACATGAAAAGGGAAAAAAATAGAAACTTATTGACTGTTGATCTCTTTTTTGTTCATTCAATTCACTCTCATGTAGTTTATTAGATATAAAATTAAGTGAAATTTTACATGTCTGTTTAATTCTTTCATGCAAAAGAATGTACTGAGAATTTACTAGTTCAGAGAACTGTATTAGGAGCTGGGCAGGTAATAGTGAATAAAGCAGAAAATTCCCCTTGCCCTCACAGGGCTTAACTGTTAGTGAGGGTAGTATAAATAGAAGTGAAGACTTATAAAATTGGCAAGTATGTCTATTGACGTTTTAGTGAGCAGGAGCAATAATGTCAACTATTAAAATGTGTCTATAAAGTTTATTCTTTTCTGTGAAGTTGAGATCTGTTGACAGACATATTAACGTAAGTTGGCTGGCTTTCCATAATAGCTATACAGGATAAAAAATACAGACGGTATATACACATGATAGTTTCTGCCAACACAAAGAGAAACAGATGTAATCCTTGATGCAAACTTCTTATGTTAGACCATTGATATCATAATAGTTAGACCATGATTTAAGATGCGGATTGAAAAACCACCAGGATCGGATGTGTTCCCATGTTTTCTAATGATTGGTATCAGTTTTGAGCCCTCTAATAAACATGGCTTCTGTTTAAGGATGTGGCTAAAAAGGTAGTTGCTCTCCGGCTCCCTCACAGATGCAGGGAAGGTCCAAAGTCCTCGATAGGAACTGCAAATGTTGCTCTATAATGCAGACAGAAGATTCTTAATGATACAGGGCTTTTTATGATCCGTCAACCTTCTGATACTCCATTGTCCATTTGCGATAATAAGTCCCACTATGAGCCTTCAAATGAAAGAGAAGAAAGCAAGGGAGTAAAGAGGAAAGGGGAGTATTTAAGGAATGAAAAGTGGAGGTCTACTTTGATCTCTTTAGGAAGAGTTGAAATGCAAGCAGAAAGCCCAAATCTGAGCCACCCAGTTAGGCCTTGGTACTAGAGTACAAAATATATGCTTTGCAAACTACCCCACTTAAGTGACTTGGTTTATTCATCGTTGTTATTTAATTTTTTCACTTTTTTTCCCCTAAAGTTTCTTTTAGAGAAAAAAAACAGTGTGACATTTTCCCAAAGCACAAAGGAACAAGGGAATTTATTTAGACTTGATCTTGTTATCTTCTAATCACTCCCCTCATTCCCTCCATATGAGATAAAACTGCTCCCAAGAGTGTTAGAAATGATCCCATCCCTCTTCCAATTTCCGAGTGGCCCAGTAGCTCCTTTGGAGGTAAGAAAGATGAAAGAGGTTTCCATTCTCTCTGAGAACTGTTAGTGACGGGCATGACTTCTATCTGTTCTTCCTGATACCTGCTACTGACTTCTGATTGACTCCATCTTACAAGGCAATTGGGTCGTAAAGGATGACCCACTTGGTTCCCACCATGACATGTGCACCATGAAAAGTCAGACAAACCAGAGGGAAGTGGCACTAGGTGGCTCCTTCTTAGTAGATGCACTCACATAGCAATGAAATTCTTATTTTTATTTTTTTGGTACCAGGTATTAACCCAGGGGTGCTTAACTACTGAGCCACATCCTCAGCCTTTTTTTAAAAATTTTTTTATTTAGACACAGTGTCTCTCTAAATTGCTTAGGGCCTCAATAAGTTGCTGAGGCTGGCTTTGAATTTAATCATTTCATCTCAGCCTCCCAAGTTGCTGGGATTATGCTAAGTGCCACCACCCCTGACTAAATGAATGTATAATTATCAGAAAAATACCTTTTTATATTAGTGGTTCCTTTCCATTCCTCTTCTTTAGTATTGAACGACTCTCTCAGCACGGTGTCCATTTCAGTTATGTGCTCCTGAATAGCTATGACCACTTCTCTGTGGACAAACTTCAAGGCACTGATTTCACCTAACACCTTTAAAAAATGGGGATTAAAATAAGCAAAATATTAACTTACCATGTTTTGGAGAAAGTTTTTAAGTGGAATGACCAGAAGTGGTTACTTTTTTTCCTATTTTAACCCCTGGAAGAAAAATCTAACCTGGAAATCCCGTAAGATGTCATATTATTAACCTAATTCCTCAGTTTTGTATGATTATGACTTTATGGTTCAGTTTCATTTCTGACCTTGACAATAATTTTACAACAACCTTATTACAAATGTAAAATTATTTTATATAAAATATGCAATATAATAATACAGAACACAGAGTCATAAGAGGCAATTAAAATATGTTCAAAAGGCAAATTTTTCTAATTCTACTAAAACCCCAAATGCCAAAATCAAAAATAAGACTGGGATTCTTTTATGCTTTGAATAAATCTTGTTTGATGAAATGCATGGAAAACAAAAACAGTCAGGGAACACGCAGTCTAGCATTCCTTTTAATAGGAACTCACTGTCCCTAGAGAAGTTTCTGTATACAGAAGACTAATTGCCCTGGACCACAGCTCACAGCCATGCCAACATGCTGTTCCACTCATCACACACAGTTTGGGTTTTCTTCTGGACTATTTATAATAATCACCAATTTCACTGACTTCATAAGTCTCTCCTACATCTTGAAGGTATCTAACATTGCCAAGCATTCTGCTAAGGGCTGGTTTTCTCCCACAACTTATGAACTCTTGAACTGAAAGCCATCCAGATGAGAAAGGCAGGGAGCCACGTCTGCAGACTAATGGGCAAGTTGAATGTCTTTCTCTGGATAGCAAAGAGGACATCTGCTTATCAGATAAGCTCTGGTTACAGAAACCATTTTCTCTTTTATAGAATGACTTCTCCATCTCCTCAGGAGCCTATGAATCCTCTTCCCAGAGTGGGCAAATCGAGAAAGGGTTCTGGTTGGAATACCAGAAAAGAAAAATCTCCTTCCTTCCAAGGTAATGAGCATCAGGAGTGACAAAAGCCTAAAGTAATGCCATAGTAAGAAGAAAACATTCCCAAGAACAAAGGCAGCACAGTCAAAAAGAGAGGTTTGAAAACATCCATTGGCATCCTGAATGCCACCACCCATGAGAAGAGCTATGACAATTCCTATTTATTTGAGTTAATAAATGAACATAAATAGGTCAGGTGCTAGAAAAAGACAACTAGGTAGTATTGATAAAATAGATACCCCTGGACTCCATGATTTTTCCTGCTCTATGGAATCTCTTCAGCGGCCTTCTCAGAGTAAACTTCTCCCACTGGCACCTGCGAGGACATCCTTTGCCTTCACTTGCTTCCCCGTCATTCTTTCTGAGCATCTCTTGCATTTCCTCTGCAGTATATACCTTTCTTTCTTCATCTCGTTGCATGATCTTTTAAAATCCAGACTCTTTTTAAAATATTTGTGCATGATCTTTTAAAATCTTGTTCGGAAGTATTCTGTGCCCAAGAAACTTACTAAAATGCACTCTCTACATTCCTATCCAGGTTGTCTAAAAATGCATGCCAGAGTTACAACTCTAGAGCTCTTCCCATGCCTCTTGAAATACCTTTCCATTTAGGTCCGTGTATATTACAGATATCAAATTGGACGGCACCCAGTCTTCACTAGATTTATGCATTCCAAAATGACAAGGTTCACTTTTTCCTAAGTTCCTTTTCATTTACAATCTTTCTTTGCTGTTTTGGCTGAGATTCAGAATGAATAATAATAATAAAAAACCCTCAATCCCCACTTTATCTTTTAGGAAATGAATTGTGGGGATGTCTCCTTACTTACTAGTACCTCTTTTTTAACACAAATTCCTTATAGAGTCCAGAGCGCTTGGAGAAGAAGAACAGTGGGAGCAGGGGTGGTTTTGTTGCTGGGAGTTTGAGGAATTTCACTATTGTCAACTGGACTAATCATCTGGAAGCATTTGTCTCCCCAGATGCAGAGTATCAGGGTCATGGGCCAGCAGCATGGAGTCTTCTGGTTACTCTGGTTCTTTTAACTTCCTTCTGCAATTTCAACTATTGCTGCTATCCTTGTCATGGCTGCCGCCATAATGTATCAAATATGCACTTATATAAAATGATATGGATGCACAAGTGATACACATCCAATCAATAAATATATTTTGGCCTGACAGATTTAGGAAAGTGTGAACAAACATTTAACTAACCTCAACTGCAATTGCTAAAGAAACTTCTTTGCTGTCTCTTCTCAGTTTAGCTCTGCGCAGGACAGTTCTCTTTCCGATTACAGCAAAGTGCTACTAAAGAGATCCTAGCATATTTTTAATATCTCATTAATCTGAATAGTTACTTATTTCAAGTGATGTATGATGGAAAAGTAAGCAGATTATTATGGTCATATTTATTACTTTATTTTATGGATCACATTAATTAATGGAAAAAATGTTAGAAAACAAATATTATGAAAAATCTAAAATGTATGACAAACTCGTGCTTCAATGTGCCATACTTTAAAAAAAGAGAAAAAGCCAACCCGGTCATGTAGCATGTTTAAAGGCAGAAAAAGGACAGTGAACTATGATACCCGTACCGTTTGATATTTCAAACACATTATCCAATTAAGCTAGAGAAAATGTCGTTTGTGTGGCTGTGACTCAAAAGACTCTCAAAGTGCCGGTAACTTCTTTATTCACTCCAGCTGTGATTACATATTTGTTCAGATATCTGACAAAAATTAAGACACACACACGTACACATACATTTAAAACATACACACACCACACACCATCTATACTTTCACAGTCCCATATTCTTTGCCCTAGTTATTCCACCGTCAGAATCTACCATTAAGATATGCACTATCTGGGCAGAGGAAGGTACTCTAAATTCTAGCCCTCTGTGAAAGTAAGAAGAACAACAAAAATGGGGAAAATCTATCAGCATCAACTTTTTTTGGAGAAAAGCTATTTCTGGCACACTGTCAGGGCCTACCAGGCAGTGCATGAGACAACAATGTCTGCAAAGGCAGGCAAGTGTTTCTCAGGCTACACAGAGCCAGTGTCCAATGGTGACACTATGACAGTTCCGGCAACCAGGCAATGGAGCGTGTGAGCTCATTCTGCCTGTGTTTGTGCCCAGGCCAGCCCTCTTGAGTGTAAAGTATCTGGATTTAACTCTTCTCGCTAGAGCAGGTCTTAAGAAAGAGGTGGTTAATAGCTTGCTAATAAGTTAGATCTATCCTCAAGGGTCTCATTGGGGGGGGAAAAAAAACCTGAAGTCGATATTATTTACAATCAGGCTGTTGAGATGGGTCAAATTGGCTGCCAAAAATAAACAATAGTGTTAAAACTTCAGTGAGCAGGGATTATGAACATGGTTAAAGGAATTAGGAGGAGAAGGAGGAGTGAAACTGGAAAAATTCTGGAAGCAAATGTTGAGTTCATTTTCCACTCCACACAGGACTTTGGCATTCTGAACATTTGTTCACTGAGTGAACAAATAGCAATATATGGAGGTAAGGTTAATTTTGGTTTTGAAATAAAGAAGATGTTCTCGATGGAATTCAGATGCTATACTTGAAGCACAGTAGCTCAACGAGGAGCAGAGTCCACTGAAATCAGGTTAAAGCTGTAGATTTCCAAAAGAACTAGAAACACTACAGCACGCTATATGTTATAGGTTGAATCGGCATCATTTTAGAGAAAGAACGTTTTGCATTTTGAAAAAGGAGAGCACTTATGTTGATTTTTTTCTCAAATGGTTAAATGAGCAAAAATCCAACATTTGGATTCATTCTCTGGGATTTAGAGCTGATGGGTGTTTGTATCCTTGGCTGTGCTGATCGGCGCAGCTGTGAAAATCAGAAGCCAAAGCACAGAGTTCTTTCATTTTTGCAAAAGTATACTTTACTTGGTCGTAAAATATTCAATGTTCTTAAGATTAAATATCTGAATATTGCTTCTGAAGGAGCAGCTGTCACCTTAAATCTAAAGTCTAGTTTGTTTACTGGCTGTATTTTATATCCTTTAGAAAATGACACAAAATGGCAATAAAATCATTGTAAGTATTCTACGGGGGAAAATAAATGCCCCTTGGTTACAGTGTACATATCTTGATACATAATTCCAGTTTATTTTCCCTGGAATTATGTTAAATATGTAAAAAGCCTTTTCTCATAAAGGTAAAAATGCTAGATGTTTCCAAGTTGTAATTTAGCATTAGTGTCAAGATCACTTCAGAAAATAAGCTACTGTTACTATTTCATTTCTTTTAAGTGTCATTGAGCATACACTATGTGAGTTCAGACATAAAATAACTTACATGATTTTGTATCAGTTCCATATGAGATTAAAAATAATTTATAGTCTACATGTGTAAAATGAACTGATGCTATGTAACTGTGTTTTCTTCTTTTTTACATTGTTTTATATTATCATTCAATAATTGTTTCATGTAATTGTGAAAGAATTCGTCTCAGTAAGTTAAGATGTAGAAACTAATACAGTCTATGGATTCTTAAAGAGCTGTGATCAATATCCTTGTAGGTAGTTCTTAGAGTCATATTGACAAAATTACAAAATATGCCAAAATAATTTGATAATATTTCTGTCCACAGGTATGAGAAGATATAATAATGTGTAGGGTTATTTGTCTGATTTCACTTTTCATGAGTGGATTTTTAATTTTTTTTTAACTTTTAAGAAATCAGTATTAGGCAGTCTTCTCAGATGAAGTAGAATAAAAAATAAATATTCTGAAAATACTTATCTTAAACATTGACTTTGGAATGCAAGGGTTTTAAACTTCTTTTAATGCAAAACTTTAAAATTTTCAAAATATTATAGTAAATTAAGATTAGTAAGTAAAAATAAGAATGAAAATAACTCTTTCATATTTAGGTCTCCTCATAAGATATTATTTCCAAAGTTCAATTCAATAAGATGAAAAATATATAAAATTAGAAATGAACTTATTTTTTGTTTTAGATAAAGCAGTCAATCTTTACCAATTGTGCAATAAACATTTAA